GTAGGAATAAAAAAGCCATGAAATTTTGGTTTTATTACCCATAAGATTAAGGCTAATAAACTCTGCTGAACTCTTCCAATATTGCCCATCATTCTTCATAACCCACCTTCAATAAATGTGTGGAAAAAAGAAATATTACTAGATAACTGTATCTTCAAATATCTGGTACCCACTGCGTGTTTCATCGAACACTTTGCAGCTGCCTTCGATTCAATTGATAAAACGCTTCAGAGGATGCTTATAAAGGCATTTATGAGCTTATATCAGCACAAATCTGGAGAACTGGCATTCCTTTAAAATAAAAACTGAGTCCGCCAAAGCTCTCTTCTTTCTTCTGCAATATTCAAGTATACGATAGTGGTAATGGACACCGCTTTCGGCACTTAAGAGATGTACAAATCAGTCCAGAGCATCGTGTCATAGATCTTGAATACGTTGATGATGTAGTTCTTTTTGCTGAGAGCTATGACGAAATGCAAGTAATATTAAATAATGTATCAAAAACTGCAGCAAAAATCGGACTCATGGTCAATGAAAAAAAACAAAATCTTTTCGTCCTATGTGCAAGAAGCTGATAAAATACTTATTTTTATAAATTCATTGCCAGTTGAGGAAGTCCACTGATTTTAAATACCTTTGGTCCACTCGAATACCAAACAGCCAGGCAAAAGGCTACTGAATGGCCAGGGAAATCGCAACTCGGATAATGGTACCTAGAAATGCTTTCTCAAATGTTGACAAAATTTTTATGGAGCCATCATGAAATCATCACAAAAACGAAAGTCTGCATCAATAGCCGTGATTCGTTCGACCTTGCTATATGGCTATGAGACATGGTCAGAATGGAGGCTATTAACAAGTTAAGAAGTTATCTGCCTTTGACCACTTACGTGTAATATATATTTTACGAGCTCACAAGGTGGATAAAATCTCCCGCAATTGCACCAGCTCTTGTTCAAATACCACTTGCATTAGCAGTACCATGTGCCATCAGAGAGCTTCTCAGGAAAGATTTTTGAACTTATAGGATCACCAATTATGGATTTAAACGGTAGAAAAAAAAATGAGAATAATGGAGAGTTGTTAGGAGGTTTTATTACCAAATAATCAAAGTTTATTGGCCAAAAACGACTGATTATAATGGTTCTTATTTTTTCTTATTAATTGATGATTGATAATTGCTTAATTTTAAATTGATAATTTGATAATTCTTCAATTTCTTATTTTAATACATTCATTGCATAAAAACAAATTCTGCAATCGAGTTTTAAATAATTTCTGTAAAAAATCTACCTAAAATAGTTTTTTGGAAGCAATAAAAGATCGGATCGCGTTCATTTCTCCTTATTCGAAATGAATAAAAATTCTTATGAATCAAGTTTAAATGCAAAAAATAGCTTCTAATTTTTCTTTCTATTAATTTTAAATAAACAAAACTATTTAAAAAAAAAAATTTTAGATTTCTCTTTTTGAAAATTTTCAATATTGAATTTAACGAATGAGAAATTTTCCTTAATATTAGACCAAAAATCCAAATTTCCATCAGCGACTGGCGCCTCACCACATCTTTATCGCCACTGGTCTGGCTATGTGGCATATCTGCTTAGTTCGACAAGCTAGCATAATCGGTCTAACCAGGATTGTCCAAGATGTTGCTTAGACCTGTCGAAAGTCGACAAAAATTGAAGGAAAATCGAAATTTTTTGAATTATTACGTGGAGTTTCCCTATTGAGAAAAAAATGTTTTAAGGTAGACCATCCTCAACTAAATATAAATTCTCCAATCTATCGAGCTAATAGCATATTTGACAGACATCAGCACAAATATTTTTTATAGTTTGCATTCATATATAATATAAAGGACAAAGATTTATTACAATTGCCTCGAGGCATATCTAAATCTACAACAATGGAAAATTATTTATATAAGCTAATGGACCTTTTGTCTATTCTACTTAATAATAAATTATATTTTTAAACGTTAATATTTTTAATTTTTATTTAATTATTAAAATTTAATATTTTTCCTTGAGAATGTCCATATGCACTTTCATCTATTGGAATTTCTACTAATAATTATCCTTTTTCTTCTTCTAACAGCTCTCATCATTACTGGTTAGGCTGGCTCCGCTCGCTACAAGAAGTCTCCATGCTTCCCGATCCGTCGGTAGTAGTAATAGAAACCATTTCTTTTTCCGTCTTCTAAGTCCACATATTGCTAGTTCACCTATACGTTCAAAATCTTTTCTGACCGTATCAGTCCGGGTCTTGATTGGTCCACCTCTCTTTTAACCCTTTCCATCGTACGGCTTAGCAAGTAACCAAAAATGCGTCAACTCCTGTGGTGGGCGACGGAGAACGTGTCCTAACCAGCGAAGGCGACGCTCTGTGACACTCTAAATTATTAATGCAAGTGGTATTTGAGCGAAGGTGGATGCTATCATGTGCAATTTTATCTACTCGGCGGAACCGTAGAATATACCTTAGACACGAATGGTCAAAGGCTGATGGCTTTTTAATATCTCCCACTCTCATTGGCCATATCTCACAGCCATATAGCGAGGTCGAGTAAAGATGCGAATTTTGTTTTTATGGTGGCTACGGTTCTATGAAGATTTCATCAACCTGAAAAACTAATTCTAGCTGCCGTTATCCGGGTTACGATTTCATTCTTTGCTTGGCCATTTGGGACTAGAGTGGATCCAAGGCATTTAAAGTCCAGCATTTCCTCAACCGGCAGTGAATTGATAAAAATAGGTATTTTATCAGCATCTTGTGTATAAGACGAAAATATTTTCTTTTACTTTCGTTTTATCTAATAATATCCATCATTTCTTTTATTCATATCAAAAGATTTATAGAAATTTTATGGAAATTCGCGCTCGATTTTCATATATTTCTTTCAAAGATTTATTCCAATTGAACTTTTTACTAATGGTTCATTTACACAATTCAAATTCGACATTTCCTTCTTGTAACATAGAAATATTTATTAATAATTGCTATTTTTATAAGTAAAAAGCTTATTGGTATTTTAAAAGTTCAGTTATTTCCCAAGATTAATTTTTTGAACCAAAAGTTTAAAAGATCTTTATCAAATTTCATTGAAGACTGGACTTTTTTCCTTAAAAAGGGAAAGGAAAACCGGAATGGAACCGGAATGATGCATCTTTTTGAAGTTAAAACGGAGACTCGTTTCCACGATTTTGCTCAAGAAATGAACAATTGGTATTCCCTCATATATGAAATAAATTATATCCTTTTTGAGATATAATTTACAAGTAATTCGTTTTCTTTTCAAGGATCTCCAACAAAAATTCGTTCAATTAGTGGTCTCTTTAAATTCATTGCAAATGAAAATATTTTAATAAACTGGTTATATGTCTATTTATTGAAGAAAATTATGGTCATTCTGAATAGTTTAGTTTACAGTTGGTTTATAAGAAATTTTCATTTTTTCTAAATCATTGTTTGCTGTAAGTGTTACGAAGGTTTAGTGGATTATCGCTTTAATTTCGTAGCGATGATACTGGATACGTTCTATTCTCTTGAAGATTGAATCTGTCTTTCAAAATTTTGATAATTCTTGATAATTCTGATAATCCCATATGAGCTTATTTCACCATGTGATTTCTTGGCTATAAAATTTATTTCTGCCAGTGGAATGAGCCTAATCGAACAGAAATAGTGAGCGCTGTTAGGAAAAAATTGTTCTTTTCTTCAGATATTTTGAATTTTAATTAACTATTCGAAATTATTTTATCAATGGATTTTATCATTTTGATATTTTTATGTTTTCAATTATGAATTATTCAGTTAAATTTTATGAATTTCAATTTTAATTTCGTTAGAAATAAAGTTGTAAAAATTAGTAGCATGATATTATTAAGTGGTTGTACGCATATGTGTAAAGTTCTCTCCTCTGGCAGAGATTTCCAGGCTGAGGAAAATCCATTATTACCTATAGGAGATGAAGACATGTAAAAGCCATATGAAATTTGCTTTTGGCTTAGTCCATTGACGCAAAAATAGATAAATTACCTTAGAACAGAAGAGCGATTCTCCACACATTGTCGGCCTATTTTTCGTCATTAAACCTTTCGATTTAATTGTTAAAATTGTCATCCATTCATCCAATTTTGTAAAATTTATAATGATATTGACAAATAAAACGGACTTCTCCATAGTTTTGAGCATTAATTCCTTTCTTTGCTAAAATATTTCTAATATTTTATTACGTGATGGACCTATTTTTTTCTTTTTAAGAGTCCTCACCATTACTCGTTTATCTCGCTCCACTGGCTTGTCCCACTGGAGTCCTTTGGCGATAGAAATACAGGCGAATCGCCAGCATCACCCAGATTTTTCTACAGGCTTACTCCTGCGCGGAATCAAACCTCAGCATCGGCGCTCCTAATTGAGCAGCAACCCACTGAGCCATTCTATCCCCAACATGATGGGATACTATATCATATTTAAATAAATTGTTTTCCCTCCCTATATTATTATATGTCCATTTTTCCAGTAAATTCTTGTTCTAACCGATATTAATATTACCATTTTTCGACACCTTTTCTTTGAAATTATTTGACTTATTATCTCATTTGCAAATGGCATTTGAGAATAGTGATTCAGAAAAAATGTTTTAGCAGATTAGGAATAAAAAAATAGTAAAAAATAGTAAGTAGTCGATAAATTGGATTAAAAAAATTTTTATTATTTATATATAATTAAAACAATATTATTTACTTTAACAAGGAAAAATAAGAAAAAATATAAAATTTATGTAAATTATGGAAAATCTAGAAAAAAAATGGCAAGAATTTTTTTAATGATTTGTGCTTAAGGGGAATATTTTTTAGTATTTCGTTACCTATTCGATTCACATCTCTTATCGAAGACCGCGCTTTCACTTAATACTGAGCTATTCATTGCCAATGGAATTCTAACGAATCGAACGATCATTAAAATTTTTTCAGGAAGAATTATTTTTAAGTTAAATGTCACTATTTGCATTTAACGATTTCGAACTTTATAAGGGCAATTATAGCGGTCTTCATAATGATTATGAATATAGGTAATTCCTTCATATAATTAATAAAAACTAAAATTAACTTTAAACTAATTTTTAAATTATTATATTTTTGTATAGAGGGATGCAATTGCCCCTTCATATTTTACATTGGACGTTCACCTAAACCTTTTGGCAAGGAAACCTTATCTTAGTGAGGAATGAAGTCAGCCAGATTAGAAATACCTCTAAATTAGAAAAATGTTCAAAAACAAACGGGCATGCCTAATTTATAATAAGATGAATATAAGTTGAATAGATTCGTCCAAATTTTTCAGTACATATGAATATAATCCAAGCTGGCGTCTGCTTTTCCAGAAGAGATTTTTGGACCAACACCACTTAATGCTGATTTGCTTACTCTTAGCTTTCTAAGCCTCTGGTGCGGGGCGAGATTTGCCAAAAATTCCAAAAGCTAATAACAATAACGAAATCAAAAGCCATTCAGTTTCAGGTTTGCACTATCATTTGAGTGCGTAAATGATTATGTCGAAAAAACCTTAGCCTTTCAACAAAATTGGCAGCATTCGTTCACAATATCTGTTGTGTATTTTTTATTAATAAAATTAGTTCAACGAATGATGCGAAATCAAAAACCGTTCAATCTTCGTATACCACTTGTAGTTTGGAATGGAATTCTTTCAGTTTTTAGTATTCTTGGATTTATACGCTTTTCTGAGGTAGAAATTTTAACTGTACTTACGAATTAGAGAACATTAATTTTTAATTTATAGATTAGTGAACGCAGTTGCTTAACTGATTGAACTGATTAAAGGTGACAGAAAGTGGTTTAAAAAAAAAAAAAACCACCGATATACATTCTTCAAACTATGAAACAACTGATATTAATGATAAAATATTAAGGGAGAATTATATGGTGAAAAGTTGTGACCACAACTATAATATTAACTTAATATTTATTAAATATTTATTAAATATTTATTTATATTTAGAATATTAGCACGATCTTTGTGGGAAAAATTCCTCCGTGTTATAGGCAACAGCTAAATGACGTTGGATCAATTATTCTAAAATTTTTTGTAGTTAAATATCATCATTGTTTACCTAAATTTAGGTTAAGGACTTAAGTAAAATTATCTTCGGATTCAATAAATTAAAAATTATCAGACACGATTACTGAAATTAGATATCACGGAAGTTTTTTGAAGTGGGATGAACTGATTGAAGGTGGCAGAGGATTATTAAAGTGGTACCAGATGTTTCGTATAAATGATAAACTCTTTGCCGTTGCACTAATCAAGTCAAACGCATCCCTAAGGTAGTGTAAAATCATCCATAAAATTATTTATCATAACCACTGTTTTATTTTATTTTATCTTATATTTATTGCTATTATCTAAGCTTTTGCTAAGCTTTTATTTGCCCTGCTTGGCTACTTTTTCCAAATGAATTATATAAGTATAAGAAGCAAGTGAAGTAAGATTCATAGACCCATGCGTAATCATCTAGTCTAACTTACTCTAATAAGGAGGAATATATTCAGGTGAGGACCACTGTGAAAAATTGTCATTATCTTATTATAGGATTTGATCCATTCATTGATTTACAAAGGACTCTATCCATCATTATGCTATTCGGTGAAACCAGATGGTGTCGCAGCTTTTTGGTCAACTTTATTTGCTGCCTCAAAAGTAGCCGAATTAGGCGATACCTTATTTATAGTGCTAAGAAAGAAGCCGCTTATTTTCCTCCACTATTATCACCATGCCGCTGTCCTAGTATATACCGCTCATTCAGGTATTTTTTTCAATATAAATATAAATTAGAACTTATAAATTCGATTGCTACTCTGAGGAACAATATTATATGGGAAAGAACAACATATGTTTGAATTTTTCCAGTGGTTTTTTCTTAGGTATACTTAATTTTCTTGCAGTCTTTAGAAAAATTCAATTTTAAATAATTCTGAAAAAAGAAGAAAATTTATAAATTTAATTGAAATTCCTTTTTTTCATTAAATTCCATCATTGATAATAATTATATAATTATAATAATAATTATGTTGTATATTATAAACTGATATTAATATTTATTATTATATTTTTATATAATGTTTGTAGTTTTTATTTTTATTTATGCAACATTTATTATAAATATTCATTAAATTAAAAATATTTCTTTTGAAAAATAGGAAAGAATTAGTTCTTTGGCACAAAATTTGCAATGATTTTTTTCTGATTTGTCTACTAAAATTAATAAAATATTCAATCAAGAAAAAAATTCGAAGATTAAATAATTGAACTAATCACTAACATTTTAAGATTTAAAGTTATTATTGATGAATTTTTAACAAAAATAAATAAGTGAAAGATAAAAGAGAAAAATGAGAAATGGAATTCGTTGAAAACAAAGAGCGTAAATCTCTGAAAATTCCAATTTCTAATTTTTCGCTTCCATTTATTTAATTATTATTTATTCATTTAATCATTTAATTATTATTTATTTAATCATTTGCTTATAATTATTATCTATTTTCATAATAATTAATAATTATTAATTATAACTATCAATAATTAATTATTAATTATTAATTAATTATTTAAAATTTCATGAAAAAATAAAAATTTTTCCTCATAAAATCAGAATCGCTTAGAACAAAGGTAAATGTTGTTAGGCCGTCGAATACTGCTCCGTGATGGAGCGCCAGTGCTGAGTTTCTGATCTTGGCAAATGAAATCCTTCTTTTAAAATTCGCGTGATGATGGCGACTCACCTGTTCTTCTATCGCCAAGTGACGAAATTTTACTGGTCCGATGGGCCAGCGGCAGCGAATCTAACCAGAAATAATAAGTTTTAGAAAAGAAAAGAAATCTTAGAAGCAACGTCGCTCTTTGCATATTATTTCGTTACTTTCCGTGCTAAATTTCATAAAAATTTATTTTATATTAATTATTCACCTTTATGCAGTACACATTACAACGTTATGCATTATACAGTCGTAAAAGAAAATTAAAATTCGCAAAATTTGAATTAGGGTTAGTGATAGCCGTTGAAAATCGCTGTAAAAAATTTCATCTAATCAGCTGATAATTCGAAATTTGGCTGATGAAGAGAAGAAGTAAACGTTGCACGACCTGCGTCTCAAATCTTCACGCCAACTTCAACTCATTTTATGACGTTGTTATAGGTGCTGAACACACTGGGTCAGGACGTATGTTTATTAGTATGAATTTTTTGGTACATTCTGCGATGTATTTATATTATACGTTAACTTCGTATGGAATTCGACCAGCAAAGTGAATTTTTTTTTTTTAAATATAATAAATAGAATAAATATTATAGTAATAGAAAATAAATATAAATTATAATGTTAAAAATTAAATAACTGATTCAAGTAACAATAGATCCAGCAATAGACTATAATATTTATAGTAATAGATTTGAGTAATGATAATAGGCAAAACAAGTGATAAAATAATTGATTCAAGTAAGTAAGTAAGAGTATTAGTAATAGGTTAAGTAACAAGATAAACTTGTCTAGAATCGCAAAATCCATTATTTAGAATATTTAGATATATTATAGATATGAGGCCTTGGAATATTTGTTAGACTCCATTTATGCATACTCCCAGATTCAAGAAATCTGTTTAAGTAATTGGAAACCTAGGAAAGCCTGGTTCTTTAGTTAGTTAAAGGCTAACTTTTAGATTAGTTGATTGTAATGAATATATCAATTTTATTTGGAATAATGGTGGTTTATGAAGGAATAATAGACCATTATTTAACCATATCTGCAAAATAAATCAGAATTCCCATGGTTTTCCCTTGCACACTATTATTTACCGTATTAAACCATATAGAAATATTACATTTTTGCACTTTTCGTTAGTAATTTTAAGAAGTTGAAGAGAATTATTGGTGATATCTACAAGTTTTTTTATCATTCCACTAGTTTATCAGTGGTTTTATATTGCAACCACATTCTAAGACAATAATATACGATCCATAGGCATAGAATTCTGAGATTTCTCAGCCATGACTGGTAAGGAAGAAGCAGGAATAAGAGAGTTGGAGTAATAGTGTTGCATAAATTTAGATGGATATCAATGTGCATCACAAGCCTCCAAACGATTCAAATGTTTTTGGGAATAATCGTTTCATTGTACGTTTATAGGATTAAACTGGAAGGCAAATTACCGTATGTTTACTTATACTTCTATGTTTTTTACTTTAACACTTCCATCAATTTTTTCTTATAGCATCTATAAAAATTTTATAAAAAAATTACTAGAATTTTGTAGCATTTACTGATATTCTATTAAATTTTTACTTCCAAGTTTTCAGCCAAAATATATCGAGAGAAATTTAAATTTTATTAACGCTTCTTCAAGTAATCTAAATTATATTTCCACGATTATCATTGTTAATTTCGAAGAAAATTGATAAACATTGATAAAGTGATTATTTTTTTAGATGCCAACAATCAATGAAAAATTTGGCCCTTGCATTTATAATCTATGTTACCTTCGCAGCTTTATTCGTTCATTTCTTTATCAAATCCTATATAAGGAAAAATAAAATTCGACAAAAGAAAGCTGATTAAAAATAAATCTATGTGCTTCTTATCTTATCTTATCTTCAGATATCTTCAAATCTTTACATAATAAATTATTTTTTTAATAAAAATAAAAATTTTTTACTACCACAATTTATTCTTATTGCGATAAAAAAATTTTATATAACAATTCTGGAAAAAGTGTTATTGAAGCAGCGATGTTGATTAAATATTGAAATTTTAAATATTAAAAATGAGAAAGATGAGCCAAAATCAAAGTATTTTGGAAATTTACGGAAATCTTATGGCCATAAGGTCTTTATTTTCTAGAAACGTTCAAAATTCTCGGTTAGGCTCTGGTTCCTAGGATAAAGCAAATTTATGTTAGAGAATCGGCTAACTACAGAATTAGAAGTGGTCGTAAGCAGCTAGCATAACAAGGACTTTTTGAAAGACGAGTTTACTGCCACCGGGAAAAGAACACGTATGTTGCCACCTGAAATTAGCGTACTAATCCACTGAGCCATATATTAACTGCGGTTAAATATTAATATTACTGAACAATTTTAAAAATTTTAACAAATATCTTCAACTTATATGAGCAAGATCATTTGAATTACAAAATTTATAGAATTTCATGAATAATTAAGAAAAAAATTTTTTTTTAAATTAAATTTTTAAATTTAATTTTAAGAAAAAAAATTTTTTAAATTTTTTAAAATATTTAAAGCTTTTCCATATAAAACTGTATTATTAGTATAAAGATTTATTTGATAAAATGATAAATAAAATTTTCTAAAGAAATTCAAAACTAATAAAATATTAATATATCTTAATTTTAAATGTCATCAAAACTGTGTAAAAAAAATATATTAAAAAAATGGTTTTATCAAATTATAATGGTACTATATAAAGGCTGTTTATATTCATATCTTCGTATGATTCATATAAGGAATATAACCATAATATAAATGGATCGCTAGAACCATTCGAATTTTTGAAAGATAGGTTTTTTCTAGTGAAATGCAACGAGAAACATCTCATATATATCTAAAAAAAATTATAGACAATTGTCTCAAAATTATTATAATGCAACTATTTAATGAAAATTGTTTATATAGCTATAAGTTAATTTGCATAGGCGATATAAAAAGTACAAGTGGGTCACCAACACCAACCAACGCCAAATTGTGGATATAGCTTTTAGTTAAAATTGATTTTTTCAGTGATCCCATTACATTCCAGTATTTTCAATTCTTCAATTTCTTATCACCAAATTTTTCTTATATTCTTATTATCAAAAAAATAAAGCCGCAGATTGAATAATGATTTAGTAATTAAAATTCATATTCTTAAATATAATAATTTATTTTTATAATCTTCGTCACAATATTCATTTGACTGTGGTACTCGTCATTCGATATTCAAGGTTATCAGCTATTATCAGTATAATCAACAATAAATTTGTTAACGCATATAATACAATAAATAAATGGTACTTATCATTAGTTTCATACGATGAAAATTTAACTATATGTTGCAGATTGCTTGCAAACAAAATGCTGATTGTTGCGCCAAATTTCGTTACAACCAGCATCGTCCCATTTACCATCACTTTTATGATAATTAACAAGAACGCAAGAAACATCGAGACCACAACACTTATTAGGTTCCCCATCTCGCCAGTTTGTATAATTCAGTGGTGATCCATCATACCACCGCCAAATATTCTGAAATTTTCGCAAACCAATCCAAAAGGGACCATGACCGACAAGTGCTGAAAAATCATAAAAAATTTAACTAATAGAAGCGATGTTTAGTCAGTTTCTTTTCTTTAAAGGTCCTCACCATTACTGGTCAGACTCATTCCGCTGGCACTGGACAAATATGGCAATCAGTTCCTTTACGAGAGAAGTATAACTGAGTCGCAACACTACTTTGGCTCAGTGGGATTTTTGAAGGATAGGTTTGATGAGGGGGATAGAACCTCAGTATTGGCGCTCCGAATTGAATGAGAACCCACTGAGCCAAAGTACTTTTTCAAGTCTTAATATACTAATGATGACATCTAGCGAGACTATGAAGTTCTATCGGGATGGCCTATCAAGCAAGTATCCTAGCAAGTAGAATGTATCCTATTTAAAAGGCGTGAAAGTAAATAAAGTTAAACTTCTTGATATCTTCCACTGCAGAATAAATGCGGACTTCTATTTTGAGGAAACTCTCAATGACGAATCTCTGAAGGTTTTGTCGTCAGGCCAAAAAAAGCATAATTAGCTAACCTGACTTCCTCTATTGCTTTGCCTTACTATTTTCTCATTTGACTCTCATGATTTGGTTCCTTAGGGCTAAATTCAGTAGAGAAATTCGTTCAAGGCAAATATTATTAAAGCTGTTCGATAATTGGCAACATCGTACATATCCATAATTTATGAAAAGTTTATTTATTTATTGTTTTTTTCAGCACCTCTGAATTGAAATTAAAATGAATTTAAATTGAAATGTTAATTCCGAAAAAAATATCTTTGTTTTCCTCGAAACTGTCAAATAATAACTGATTTTTCCGACTAAATTCATGATTTTTATTGACAATTTAATTCATTTCAAGTAAATAAGCAAAGCAAATTGGCATAAATAATATGAGACATATAATATTGAATTTTGGTGCCAGTCTTGGGGTAGGGTTGGTGTGGAGCAACGGTCGCTTTGACCAATGTCGAGTGTCGTTGGTTCGTGCTGCCCTACTCTTTGGCAGGCCGAGAACCTGTCATGCCGATAGTGGCAAACGCCTGGGCTTCTTGTATATCCCGAGTGATATCTCCTGCCAGATACAGGCAGGAAAGGCCCTCATCAATGATGAGGTACCTCAGGAGGTGTGGAGGTGGAGGAGGAGGGACTTTTTGAAGAAGGGAGGAAAAGCGATTCAAATTAGCACCGTCTTGATCTCAATTGTCTACACCTGATACTATTGTTGCCAATCAATCTATGTGGCTTTACTCGAGATGTCTTGTTTTATAGCAAATTCTGCGGTCATATATGCCACAATGGTGATTAATGGTTGAAAAGGGACATATGCCCTGACATATCGGCGTTCGAACTCCGGCCGGCACTTGCCTTTTGAGAAAAAGGACGCTGACCTAGAATTACCCTCAGTCTCTTAGGAGTGAGGTATAAATTTTTTTTAATATTCGAAGCAAAAATTCAACAAAGAGAAAATAAAAATTTTTACGAGGTTTATTTAGCAGGTTTAGTTTTCAAACAACTATTTATCACTATTAATCACCATTTATCACTGGGAATCGGGAAAAGGAAAGCTTCAATTCTATTAAGGATTCGCTTTCATATACCAGCGAATCTTCTGAAGTCACTTAGGACTGGAGAGAGGTATGAAAGAAAATGAATGATATTTGGATAGCTCTGCCTTTCCAGGTTCATTTCACAAAAGTTTTGAAATTCTGCAGATTATTTCTTTGTTGGTGATTCTTTGCAGTTATATGCTTCGGAATCATATGTTTGAATTATATTCAGAATAATAAATTAATTACAAAGCATTCTCTCCATCGTGAACGACGGTCATTAAAATGCCTAATAAATGTCCCATCCTTGTGACCACCTCTTAAGTTTTGAAGAAGAAATATTTTTCGACTGCAGCCTTTGTCATCCCCATTCTCATTCTGATATCATGGTGCATTTTCACTTAACGTTTCCGAAACGTCTGTCAGTTAGGATCTCAGGACAAGCGAACTTTGGTAACCTTGTCTAACACGATCGGAAGAGTGCTCGACCAAGAAGATATTCAACGGATGCTGACACTTTTCGGTTAGCCATAACTCAGCTTTTTGCTTTTTTTTTCCATTATTACAGGGTATTTTGCACAGATAATCATGTTTCAAATGGCTATCAATTCCTCATTATTCATATTCTTGCACTGATATAAGATATTTTGATAAGTCTTATTATCATAGAGGCACCGTAATTGAATGAACTTCCATTGTTCTATCAAACGCCGAAAGTAGCAGTAGCAGAAGCCGGTGAAATACTCAACAGTAGATTGCTAGTTCTGTATCCTAATAATCCTCTTAGCATAAAAAACTGTTTAAGGCGGGCTTCTCAATCAACATGCAATGCCATGAGCCTATCCAGCTGAAGGAAGAGAAAAAAGACTTTCCACTATCACTACAGCATTTCTCATTTCATACGCTTTCCACCTTTTTCATCGGAATATATGAATTTTCATTCCAATCTTTTATAATGAAGAAATATAAAAAGATAGAATTCCAGCGAGCAGTCGAATAATTTTAATAATATGTTTACGAAGATATTAGAAACAAAATTGCTTCAGGGCAAAGCTATAGTTCAGAAATTACGATTGTTCTTACTGTGATAATCGTGCTTATATATCGAGAAAGACGACTAGCTTTTTCATATAAGCTAGGAAAGGGTAAGTTAATTAGCAATTAGCTATTTTCGTTCCACTAGCTGGACTATTGTAATCACTTGGTAACAAAAGTATGGATGGATCTTGGATTTTTTAATGAAGCAGTTTCCTGTGGAACAATAACCTCTCAACACACCTATCCTATCCCTTCCTATATATTTCTATATAATATATTTCTAAGAAAAAAAAGACGAACAATTTACGTAATTCATTTCATAATTTGAATGTATCGATACTAATGCTGCACCATGTTCAGCACATATGGTTTCTGCTGTATGGAAATTATGCGCACCATAACCCTAAACGATTATTTTTCTATATTAGGTTATTATGCGATAATAACCTTAGGTAATCACTTACAACAAAATAGCAAAGTTTGAAGCCATGATGATAATTCCAATTATGAGGACATGGATGAATATAGTTTATACTTGGATTTACAGGATTTGCAATATTTCTGCCTAAAAAAAATTCAAAGCATTTCGATTCATTATTTCTAATGAATATGATCAAATGAATTCATTCGAAAATCGCTATTTCTTTTATTCTATGAACGATTTTTTATCATTGTTATCAGTGGTGATAATTTTATTATGCAATAAATAAGATAGTGAAAATCGGTAAATAATTACTTGGAAGACGAGGAGGTGACATTGGCTCATTTTCCTCGCCGGATCCTTCGCCAGAACCTTCAAGGTCGAATACTTCTGGCCGAATATATTTGATGAGTAGCAAAATAATTAGCTTATATAAATTTATCATTCGTTAATTTCTAATTAATGACGGTCAACCAATTATAACTAATTATACTAATATTTATATTAAAATTCAAATGGTGATATAAAAATTTTGCACCAAAACAAGCGATTACAAATTGGAGTTGTAATTCTATAAATGTGAATTCTATAAAATGATAATTAGATTTTGAAAAAAAAAAAGTATTGTATAAGTGATTATTTAGAAAAATGATTTAACAAAAGAATCGCAAAAAAGGACAGTTTCGCAAGGAATGATTATTACAACATTGCATTGATAAAATTTGTCAAAAATTTTTTGTAAATTTGTAAAAATCTGAGAATTTTGCATCCTCTGAAATAAATTTGAGGAAGTGCCTATCATGCATATTTTGAAATCATATTTGTAAAACAGCATGCAACTTTCGAAAATCTGAAAAAGTGCACGCCATGCACGCTTCAAAATTGAATTTGAGACGTAGTTTTTTTCAAGATTTAAAAAAACGTACGCAATTTTCGAAATTAAATTTGAGAAAGTGCAAGCATCTTCTAAAATAAATTTGAGGAAGTGCATGGCATGCCTATCATGCACATTTTGAAATCATATTTGCAAAAGAGCATGCAACTTTCGAAATTAAAAAAATCATCTGAAAAAATGCACGCCATGCACGCTTCAAAATTAAATTTGAGAAGATGTATGCATCATTTAAAAATTATTAGTTCCATGGAATTTTTCATGTCTGTGCAAAATATATGCATGATAAATATATAATATATAATATATGTCGGAATTGAAATTTTTCAATATAATATAATATATAAAATAAATATGCAATAAAACCTCATTTATTTAATATAATAAAATCAAATTCTTAACAAATTTTTTTTCTTAGGTTTAGTATATTTAATTTCTTAATAATTAATATGTTTAAATTACAATAAAATCAAATCCTTTCATCGAAAATTCGAAAATTCATTTCATAATGTGCAAATAAATAAAATTAATAAAATTTAATGAAATTAAATTTATTTTGCAGTAAAAAATACAAAAATATTTTTTAAATAGATTATTAAAATGCAATAATAAAAACAATAATAATATGCAAAAAACAAAAAAAATAAAGGAAAATAGTAAAATAAGTCATTTCATTTATGGAAATTAGTTCAATATTAAACTAAACTGAAAATATTTCTTATCGTTTTATAGATGAGATGGGATTTCTATTACATTGTTAACCTAAAAAACAAAAGACATATAAGAAAAAATTTACTACAAAAAATTAGAAATTTTAAAAAATCTCCATAATCGACTTTTTTTTAGTTAATATTTTGTTTTATGAGAGCGCTCATCAAATTTTCGTTCAATTTGCTCCATTGGCTTATTAGAAGATTCGACAAATTTTGCCCGAGAATCACTTAAAATATAGCGGTGAATCGTGCCCAATAACGCTGGGATCATACCAAAAAAAAATTTGCTATTGACGGGAATGGAACCTTAAACGGGAATTGCATTTTTTTTCTACGGACCCGTACAGATCTACCACAGTTTATTATATTCGCAGGTTTTGGAACTTAAAATATTTTATTAGATTTTTCCTCATAAAAATTTTGAATAAATATTAAACTCCATAAAATATTCATTAAAAGTGATTTATGATCGTAAAATAATTATATAACAATCGTAAAATAATCCTTGAAAATCGCCATGGATCCTTGGTGATCCATAGCGAAAACCATCTGCACTAATACACTATCCACATCTCACCAAATTATCAGATTTCAATCCAGGTCAAAATCAATTTCATAATGTTTTTTATGGTTGAAGTGATCAGCTATTGAATATTATTCTTTTCTTCTTATATAATAGAACTGCGATGGTACCTTGATCCATATGCTGCAACAAATATGTTATGCTTAGCGGTCGGAGCAAATTTTTCGGCGAATAAAGATTTTAAGTAAGTTTCGTCCAAGGCCGACCAGTTTTTTCAATCATTAGATGTGGTACTAGGGAGGTATTTTATATACTCTGTATTACTCTTCTATCACACGGCGAGAAGAGTATAAATAGAGCAAAAATGATTGGATTAATTTGGAATATTATATAGTGGTACCTCAAATGTGGTGTTGGTTTTCTTGGGAAAAAAATTTTTTCAATCACTCGATAAAGAGTGAGTACCGCTTGGGTAGCAAAAATGATATATGGCTGTATTTTCAGTGAGAATGAGGGTTTGGAGAAAAACAAATGAGCATTGTTTTAATTTTAAAATCGCATTCAGCACTGGTTCCAAATAAATGAATTAATGGACCCTTGGAAACTTAAGTTTGAACCCAAGAGATCCTTTCCCAAAATTAAATCTAGGTATTTTAGATAATCAAATCACTATTTTAGATAATCACTAATCAAAAACTAAGGTTTTACCATTAAACTTGTCGCTCCACTAATCTGATTGGACCAGAGCTTAAAATTTTACCAGGGATTCACTTAGCAATAGAAATGCAAGTGGGTCGCCAGCACCACTCGCTATTCCTTCTTTAGTTATTTTACTTAAACTCTAGTAGAACAAATTTTCTGGCCACTAATCATAGACCATTTGAATGAAATATTTTCTTAATTTCGGGTTCATTTTATATTTTATATTTTATGCTGACTTAATTTTTTTAACCTTTGGCCCCATTTATATCAAAAAATTGTGATCAATCAGTGGCATGCAGTTTTGGTTCCAATGTGGCCTGAATTTCCTCCAAAATCAGGTCAACTGGAAAATTGACAGGTTCCATAAATAGATCGGTCCTAACCAGTCCCAATCATCACGAATCAGCTGATTCCGGTCACTAAAATTTACCGCACTATGACGTCATCAAATAATAACATCGCGTCGCGTATGCAAACAAGCGCGATGCGTATGCACAAGCAATCATTTAGTGGTCGCCCATTTTTATTACAATACTTGTCATCGTCATAAACGGTTCACAAGTCAGGCGGTATATTTGCGGACTTTGTTGCTTGACCTGTGACCTCCCATCATATAGCTTGGCTCTGGCCCCACTCTAATGCTTATTGCTTGGCTGCAGGTTTTACCATTTGTTATCGGTGAACCTTAAATTCTTTTAGACGATGTTTATTGAGTTATTCTCACTATTGTACCTAAGGTTAATAACAGAGATTAGTATCACATTGTCATTCAATATCGATATTCATTCACCTGTTTTTAAATACGGTCTCAATGGTACCTATTTTGGATTTGCAGTTGCTCAACACTACAATGGTATCCATCCCATGTAAGTTTTTCTACATTATTGTTTCTACATTATGACCTTTGACATTGACCCCTATTGTTTACTTTTATTTTTATAGTAATATTCGCCTCAGATCGTAGTTTTTTTCTCCAGAATTAGTTTATTAGTTAATAAATCAATTAATATAGTCGGCTTACGATTTGACCTTGATGAGTTTCAGTTGATTGACCCATATCATTGATTACGATGACCCTCTCGATTTTTATCAGTCCAATTTTTAACGAATAATTTGACCTTTCAGATTGTTGTACTTACTTCTAAGCCAGTTGACCTTTAAATCATCAAATATATATTTAATTAAGTTAACTTATATTCCAATTAGTTTATTTTTATTACCCAGCAAAATTTTATATATTTATTATGATATTTTAGGTTAATTTAATATAAAATAAAGATTTTTACCATCGTTATTTGAACCCTTTTTTTACCATTGATTTTTTGTGGTAACCTTTTATAAAATAATCGAGCAGTATAATAACGTTGTCGTAAGCGAATAAGTGATTAGGTGATTTGATGATAACTACAAAGCATTATGCGAACTTTTTATTAGAGAGCTATCGTCAACGCCAATAAAATATTTGTTGTTCTAGCTTTTCAACTGATATCATCTTATTTTTAACAGTAATTATCATTTCTGGATTAGCTGGTTGCGGACAATATTTTGGGGATAGAAATGCAAGTGGCTCTCAAGAACCAGTCGTGTTTTTATGTTGTAGTAGTAGTCAATATTAATTTTAAAAATTAAAATTGTAATCAGTCATTGATAATCAATAGTTGACTATCAATAATTTGTGAATAATAAATAAGTAATGAACTGCAAATAATGCGGTGTGGGTGGGTAGTTAGTAAGAAGCGGAAACATTCAAAGAAGGTTTTTTTTCTATTTTTTATTTTTTCATAATATTTACATTTAATTAATAATTGTTATTGATTAATTATGAATTGTGCTTATAAAAAATTTTTTTTGAAATTTTTTCGTTAAAGAAAAAGTTTAAATATTTTTTTTTCAAATTTTCAAATTAAATTTTCAGATTAAAATTAAATTTTTGTAGGATATTCATTCTTTTCAAAAAGTAATTTTTATTGATTTTTCCACATAATTTTATTTATTTTTTAAAAATTAAAAATTTTAAAAATTGATAAAAATTGAAATATTAAAATAATATGAAAAAAAGATATAATATATAAAAAATAAAATAAATATTGTAATATAAAGAAAGTTAATGTAGAGATTTGCAGAATACTCGTTGGCGCACCACGTGCAGAATCCGGGCAGCCATATACTCGACAAGCTGGTGCTTTATTTTCTTGCCCAATAAATACTATTTATTTTGACAAGTAAGTAAAATTTTTATGGAAATTTTTTGTTTGAAAAAATTTTTTTGAAATTTATTTTTAAAATGTTTTATTTTTTATTTTGGAAATTATTTTCCTATTATTTTTATTTAATTAAAAATTTATTTGATTAATTAATTTAATTTCGAAATTTTTTTTCGGAATTTCTCCATTTTTTACTCGTTTAAAAGAACTTATGAGGGAGGAGGATTTTTTGATGATTTTTTAAATGATCGTTTCCATTTTTAATTATCTTTTAATTTTAATTATTTAATTATTATTATCATTATTATTGCGTGTTTTTATTTTTGTTGATTATTAATATTCTATTATTGTTGCATTATCATATTGTTATCAATAATTATTAGTATTATATAATATAATTGCTATTATTATTTTTAATAATTGTTATTATATGACTGTATTATATAATTATTACTGTTATAGAAGTAAAGGATGGTGTAAGAAGGAAATTGTGGAATATGTGGATAAGAATGATTTATTAAAACCCGTCGGTTATGTGCATGGCAAACAGTTACATTATCAGGGTAAGAATCGGCAACTTTTGGGTTCTGTTGTTGTTTCTTCTGCAGTTCCAAATGGCATCGCTATGGTTTGTTTTCTTATTGCATTCTTCCATGACTCTAATTAGATATAAATAATTAAAATAATTAAAACATATAAAAGTGCATATATAAAAGTGCATATATAAAGTGCATATGTAAAAGTGCATATATATATGTACATATATAAAAGTGCAGTGTTCAGTTGATAAATTGATACTGTTAATTATAACGATACGGTGCAATACCAATGAAGTAGATAGTGCATGTGATGATTTTATACTATTAAGTACGCTTTTGGAAAAGGATAATATTGTTATGGGAATATACAGTGATTGATTTATATGATTTCAGCCTGTTTATATTGTTAAAATTTAAGCAGTAGTGATTATCACTAGTTAAGTTAACAAATAAATAAATTCAGATTATTTATTCTCCGATTTTTAAGTAAATTAAGATTATGTAATTTTAGTTTAAATTTATCGGAAGACAGAATTTCAAAAAGATTAACCACTTACCGGAATCATTGATTTGTATATATATATATATATAAAATTGATGAAGGGTTGGAAAAAATATTGATATTTCCGAGAAACTGCAACTGCAACTAAATTTTTTTGTGAATATTTGCTTTAAACATTTAGATAGCCTCCATTTTGCTGGGTCGATGATCCTAGCGTAATAATGTTGCTTCTAATATACTAAATAATATGTACTACTTCTGATTTGATCTGCTACGAGTGGTCCGTTCATCAAGGAGGCCTTTGCAGATCACTATACTGGTTCTTTCTTAGCCTCTCTCTTTTTTGTTGATAGGTTTATTTTTATGATAGGAAGGAAACTGAACATCTGTGCGTTTTTTTCTCGAATAAATTTGTCTTCCTCAAATTCAGTAGGAAACCTGATTCCATCCCTTCATTAAATTTATATTTTCTTTTCTTTGAGGGGGAGTGAAAAATAGAAAGGAATTTCGAGAATTTGGAATCGTAAATGATTCATAAATCCATTTGGTTTTTTTTTTTGTATTATTCGCTATAAAAAAAATGAATTCTTTACACAAATTAATTCATCAAATGGTTGATTAGTTCCAAATATTTACTGGGAGAATTTGATTAATTTTTTTCCTTTGTTTTTTTTAGGTCTGCGCACCACTTGTACGCTACCACAACACTTCGGCTTATACAGATGGAACATGTTTTGTACTCGAGAGTGATCTTAATCAAAAGGTTTGTCGATTATTGAAAAATAAAATCCTAATTAAATATCTATTCCATCATTTAGGAAATGCTCATATCTTGTGCTCAACCAGGTCTACCTAGAACAGATCGCCATAACGAATACGGATCATGTATGGAGGGTTTTAGTGGTTATGTTGATGAATCGATGGTTATCACAGGTTGGTTTTTTTGTTATTCTTCTAATTTTGTTTTTTATTTTTTATTTAAAAGAGATTTATTCATAGCAATATAAAATGAATGGAAGTTAAGGCCTACCTGGTGCCAAGAAGTGGACTGGAGGAGTGTTTAGTCGTTATTATCCGAAGGATATCTTTGCAATGAATTTGGACCGCTGGACAATGGGCGTCGAACCAAAGTATCATGGTGTTCGCTCTAAATTTCAAGGACATGATTATTTAGGATTTTCAGTAAATCATGGTCGTTTTGGTTTTTGGTTTGTTTCCATTTTATATTTTTACTGGCTTTATTTAAGAGGGGAAGAAGAGGAAAAAATTTCATAGCATCAACTTATTGCCGACAAATTCTATTTAAAAAAAATTGATCATTAGCATCATTAGGCATTCTATCAGCGTTATAGTTTATTAACAAAATTCGTGGGATTTTTCTGTATAGCTTTGAATTTTTAGGTTCGAAGATGATGAAAATTCGACGATTGTTAGTGGTGCTACTAGATATAACCAAACAGGCGCCGTCACATTTCTACCTTTTCGTCGTTCACATCCATTTGGTTCTCCTGAATCTCATCATTTAACGCTCACTGATGACAGTTTTATGTTGCTTGGCACACAGCTTGGATCTTCATTTGGATACTCAATTGAAGTGAACGATTTGAACAATGATGGGTACATATTGTTTATTTATATGCTTAGCGGATTATTTTTGGTTTTCATAAAAAAGAACTATCAAAGAACAAAATAAAAAAAAAGATAAGCAACTGTACTTTTTCGCTTAATTATTTAGATTCGATGATTTACTTATTGGTGCGCCTTTCGAATATATGGAAAACACAGAGCAGCAATATGGTGGTGCAGTTTATATATTTTTCTCATCAGGCAAAAAACGAAGCAAGCACGAAAACTCGAAAGTTTTTCTGGAACCGATAAAAATCCGCGGCCCAGATATTTATTCCCAATTTGGATTGTCCATTACTTCTCTAGGAAATATCGACGATGATGTGAATAAATTTAATGGTGAATCATTTTTTTATTTTTTTTTCAAGGTTCGGTCGAGGCTGTCACGTTTTTTCTGATTTTTTTTTTGCTTCATTGTGGTTAATGCAAATTATAAAGCGAAACTGATAGTAATTGAGAAATTGAGAGAGTTAACAAGTAAGAAGGTTCTTTTCCAGACTTTGCAGTGGGTGCGCCATATGCAAATGGTGGCGAAGGTGCAGTGTACATATATCATGGATCCAAGTCTCCTAAAGATTTCAAAGATCAACCTGCTCAGGTATATTTCATTGCAGTATACCTACGCTTAGGTTTTCTATTTTAGTCCTTTAGTCTTGTTCTTCGTTTGTTCTTGACATGAATATATCTTGATGATGTTGAGCCCATATTTACTTCTATCGCCAAATGATTTCTTGGCGGAAAATTTCTAATTTTATTAGTAGCAGCCAGAGTTGGCCTGAAATGGTGGCCATTGACTACTTTTTTACCTTATTTCTGTCACTTTTCCAGTTTATCCTTTTTTAGCCCTTTCTACTCGTTTTTTATTTTTTTGTTGGTGTTTTGATGATAATCCTTCGTAATCTTACTAACTGTTTTTTTTTTCACAATTTCAGTGGAATATTGTTTTTTTTGAATATTGAATATTGTTTTTTTTTCAAATAAATAAGTTAATGAAAATTAGAACTGTGGAATTAAAATTTTGCTTTCCATTTTCTTACAAATTATAGGTAATATTAGCTAGTGATATCCAAATTCCTGTCAAATCAAAATTGCGTTCCTTTGGTTTTTCACTTTCCGGTGGAATTGATATGGATGGGAATGGTTATGGTGATTTGCTTGTTGGAGCTTTTGCATCAGATGCTGTAGTATTGTTACGATCTCGTCCAGTCATTAATATTCAAGCAAAATTGATAACCGATGAGTTGAAAATCGATATTGATGGTGATTCGTCCTGTTACTGGGAAGCACAGACATGGTAAAATTATTTTATAAACAGTGGATTTTTTTATTTTCATAATTTATTTCTGTTTTTTGATTATATGTGTCTGATTTTACATTCTGATCTTTATAGTTTCTCAGTGACCACAGAACTATCAGTAGACTCCCTGAACTCGAGGTCAACGCGATTATTAGATTTCAGTACAAACGTATTTGAGTGTATGCTCGAGGTTTGATGCTTTTTAATTTTTACTGCTCATGTCGTAGGCTTGTAATCGCATTTTGCCAAGACAATTGTTTTTCACTATAAATTATATTTTATTATTATTTATTATTATATTATATTTGAATTTAGGTCGTTCCTTTAAACGTTGGCATTGGTTCTCGTGCGCGAATCGTTTCTTCAGGTGATGAAAAGTATACATGGAACTGTGGGAGAAATGTTAATAAAAAGAGAGAAATACGAGCGCACTGGCTTTTCCTTTCAGTTAATATTTTATTTTAGATAGCATCATGAAAGATGGATTATATGGATTGGATGTCAAAATCTTCTGAAATTTTATTTAATTTGGTTTCATTTATTTAAATTTCATTTATTAAAAAGGAAAATAATTAGGTGCAATTATCGTTAAATGAAACCACTTTAAGTTTTAGTATATGATATTTGATTTTTATTTGTGGTAATTGTTGGAAATAGATTTAAGGAAAATAAATCACTTTTTCATTCAGAATAAGAACAGTGACTGGATAAATGCGATTAAGTTACGATTCTCAGTTCGCCTTCGTAATGATGCTAAGCCAACATTGCCGAAAAATGGTGAACAACTCATTGATCTGAACAATTTTCCGGTATTGAACAAATTTGGTTCAGAAGATTTCGCCAGTGTAAGTTAAATATTTAGATATTTAAAAAATTTTGTATTTTATAAATAATTTCATTATGTCGTTGAATATATAACTTAGAAAGTGTAAAAAGTGATTTGCAAAAATTGGAAATGAAAACAGGTGTACTTAAAATTTTTACGAAAAATTGCTTGTCAGATAGTTCATCAAAAATATCTTTGATTAAATTGGAATCGATATATCGATAAGCAGTATATAGTAAATTTTATTTACTTTATCTTAATACTGGACAATGTCGAGTAAGTTTCAACGGGAACAAATTAAGCTTGCAATTGCCAGAGCTTGATAAATGAATAAAATTTATTGTATATAAAAATTGCTTGTATTTTTATAAAAATATTTCTAGATTCACTTCAATAAAAAATGTGGCCTTGACAATATTTGTACTTGCGATTTACAGCTGCAATCAGTTCTGCCTGGAATTTCGTAAATTTTTTTTTATTTTTTTTCATATTTGATTCAATTCAGTTTATTTCTTATTTCATAGTTTATTCATGTTGGAATATTGCTTGTTCTTGATTGAAAATTTTTGTCTTTAAAATATGCATTTTTTAATGAATTGTACGAATCCGTTCCCATTTTTCATCTTAAATTTTATGAATTTTATTTTTTCACGAATTTCATTTTATCAATTTTTAGCTATTCTTTTTTAAGAAAATCCTTTTTGGTTAGAATTTGAAATTTGATGAATTTAAGAAAGGCTGATGATTCTACTTACATGACTCAAGTCGGCGAGAAGGCTTCCATAGATATTTCATTTGTGGTATCTAATTTCGGTGAGCGTGCATATGAAGCGCAGCTTTTCATTGACTATAACTCGAATGAACTGGATGTACCAGTATTAAGTAAGAAAACGGGACCGGTGAATATAAAATCTGTTGGTGAAAATTACGCTGTGGTTTCATTGGGGAATCCAATGGAACCTAGAAAACAGGTTATAATTATTTTATTGAGAATTTTATTCTTGTTAATTTGGAAAAGTGGCATATTGTCATGTGATTTTTAGTTGAAATTCGAATTGAGTTTCAAACTTGCACGTGGTCGTACTGAAGGTTTAGGCAAGCCGCTTGAATTCAGAGCACATGTTAACAGCACAAGTGAAGAAACTGATTTAAGCAACAATTTCTGGGACGCTATTGTTCGTGTTATCAAACGAGCGGAACTTGAGCTAACAGGTGTCTCAGAACCACCAATCGTGAGGTTTGTTTTCATCGCAAACAGAAAAATTGCTGATTGGTCCATAAAATTGGTCGTAAATTGAATATTTAAAATTATTCGTCTCACATTTTTACAATTTTTTTACATTTATTCATTTCTGATTCAGATATGGTGGCGAAATTAGAGGTGAATCAGCGATGGAATTTGATGAAGACATTGGTGTTCTGGTTACTCATAAATATACAGTGACAAATAAAGGTCCATGGTCAGTAAGTAATGCATTAATTGAGGTGAGTATCTTGTTTTCGAAATCCGATCTTTCTTCAATTTGTTTCGTTAGCTTAGTGGAAATTATTGGTGTGAAATTTTTTTAATCCGGAAATAATTTTTTTTCTTTTCAGATAGATTGGCCATATCAAGTTGCAAGTGTATTTCCGAAAGGGAAATGGGCTCTGTATTTACTGGAAATTCCAACTGTACAAACGATGAATACAGATAATACAAAAGAAATAAAGCAGTGTTCAATGGCACTTCCAACTGAATGGGTCAATCCATTACAGCTGAAACTTTTTCTCGATGCTGGTGTTTCATTTAATTACGATGATAAATTGAAGGAACTTGAAGCGAAATATTTGGCGATCAGAAATCATCGATCAGAAGTTCGTCATTCTTTTTTTCGTTTGGATTTTATTTCACTTAATAATTTGAGAAAATACTTTGTGTTTACTTTGTCTTTTAATAATTTTATAATAATAGTCAAATCTCTTAAAGTCAGATCATTGATGAATTTCACGGTTATTTTTATTAAATGAATAATAATTATTAAACGTCAGTCAGAATTGAGAAATGAAAATTCGATTTGCCTATTTCCTCTATTTGACCGATTAATTAGGATAATAGCTGGGCTTGTCTGTCGTTCTTCTAAACTATTTGAAAGTACTTTAAAACTGTTTCACTTGGACTCTCTGCTTTCAGTTTCTAAATAATTTATTTGATTATACCATCAATTTTCAAGTAAATTTTCACGAGCTTTCAAAGTGGCAATTTTTTTCCATTTTTTTCTTACTGCACTTGGCATTCGATTTATTTTAAAGCGAGTTTTTATGGTTGATTCATTTAGTTTTTGATTGGCAGAGTTCAAATTTAAGTGCGATCATTGCCAAAGTTTGTGATAATTTCTTTCGCAAAAATAAATTTATCAGTGACGGTTTTTTTGTTGAGGTGAAAATATTTTGCTTCGTCATTAATCTTCATTTGAGTTTCTCTTTTTTCTCCTATTTTATAATTTAATGTTTCCAATTAATCTGTAATTTCTTATGCTCAATTTTGAAAAAGTCGAACTATTCGTGTCCCATACCCAGCTTTATAATTTATTTATAATATAAATTTTTTTAATATAAAATATTTAAAATATTTTATATTAAACAATCTTTTATTATTATTATCTAAAAATTATTAAAATTATTTATTTAAGTTATAAAAATCTTAACAAAATCTGGGGAATCGAACTCAGTGAAATTTTGCAGAAATTTCCCTCAGAAAACTTTGAAAATATGAAATTAAAAAAATAAAATGGTTGTGAAGAATTCTACGAGAACTTTAATCATCGTTGAACTTTTGCGTGTATTGAGAAGGAGTTGCGTATTTTTAAACTATGATGGCTGAGAATTATGGCATATTTGTCTTTCGTGACATTAACATAAAAAAATTTACGACAGTTGTAAATAAATCGAAATGGTTCATCTTTACGGGCGAAGAATGTATTCACCGATTTATTCTTATCACTTCCTTTAAACAATTTATTAATTCTTTTGCCAAAAAATTAAAACGATCGTTTCACGTTTTTAAATTCCTATTTAGCAATTCTGTTTTTTTTTTAGCGGTCAGTGGAATCTGAGGAAACCTTGAGGCCGTCACGAGAACTTCGTATAAAGACAATCTCTGTTAAAGAAAAATCCGGTGAAGAAGTGCAAATTGTTCGTGTGGTGTGTTTTTTTTCACATTGGAACTGAGGTTATATACCTTAATGCTGTAGTATTCATAAATTTATTTGCAGAGTTGTGCGGAATATTCTGCGAAATGTTTTACAGTTACGTGCAGTTTGGACTTTCTGGATGTCGATGCAACGGCAGTGATGGAATTTCGAGCTCGTTTATGGAATGCGACTTTCGTTGAGGTGAATTATTTGAAGCTGTTAAGATAAATGAAAAATAAATGTTTCGAAAGAAGTGATGAACTTTTTTTCATGTTCAACCACCTTATTTATTATAATTTAAATATTGATAATAATTGTAATATTGTTGTATTAATTTTTCTGCATGGGGGTATTGAATGAAATATCCCTTTAACAAACATAATTCGATTCAGTTCTCATTAACAGTGGAGTCCAGGTGGTAGGAGGATTTTCATTTCTAGTTAAGCTCCATTAACCCAGCACCCTTCCACAGAGTACTTAAGTGACTTTCTGGTGAAAGGGTTCTGGGTTAATGGAGCTTAAATAGAAGTGGAAATCATATTGCTCGAAGAAGAAGAGAAAAAGGATCTTTTTTTTTACATACTTGCCATATTGTGCTCAAAAATTTATAATTTCTGTTTCAATGATTCATTAATTTTCTGATTGGAACAAATTTTTTGCAGGATTATTACGATGTGACATATGTTGAAATTAGCTCATCTGGTCGACTTTTGTTGGATCCAGAACAGGGAATTGAAGAAGACACCAGTAATAATTTTGCATTCGCATCAACTCATGCTTATCCTGATCGACCAGCCATTCAAGAAATGGCGCCTATACCGTGGTGGTTGATAGCTGCTGCTGTTGTTGGTGGTTTGTTCATTCTTTTCATACTAATTTTAATCTTCTGGAAATGTGGCTTCTTCAAGCGAAATCGACCCAGCCAACCAATGTTACATCAAGCGGAATATCAATTTCGTCAAGAAGAATGGGCGGAAAACTAAAAAGTAATTCAATTATAGTTATATTTTTTAAATTATAGCTATATATTTTGCTGAAATTTAAGTCTGAAATGATTTTTCGTAATTCGAAATTTTTTCTGCATATTGGATCCTTTTTAGTTAAAGTAGTTGTTTTTTCATATTCAAACAGCGAACATTTGCCATTTTACGTATTCCCTTGGGTAAACAACAAAATGTTCTATAAATTATAATTAATTGGTTGTTCGATTTACGAAATTAAAAAATCTAAAAATTTCTCTCCCCTTTTAATTGTTTCTTGATTTAGAAGCTTCTGATTGTTATCTATATTGTTTTTCAAACGATTGTTGACTTTTCTTCTTTTTTTACTCTTTTTTCTTTTCTTTTATAAGGGAAATAAATGGATAAATAAGTATTTCATATTCACTAATAGGCGTGGATTTTGGATATTTTCAACTTTAGCATTATCACCTTTTAAAAAAAAATGCCTTGGGAACTTTTTTTTTATCACTTTTGTGGTATTTCTTAAAAATATCGTATTTGTCCCGAAGCAAACGAATTGAGGCATGAAGTCGTGAAAAGTTGAATAGGTGTTATGATAATGCTGATAATAAATTAATAATATAAATCTTATTTTTGTCAATGAAAATCTCAATTTACTCAGTGACATAACTATTTTACTTTTCTTAGTGACATAACTCTAACTATATTTTTTTTTCGTATTGTTGTTATATTTCAATTGTTTTGTTGAGTTGTTTTCTCTCGTTTGAGCCATACTGCCGTTTTATTATTGTGTCACTATTTAATTCTATTATCGTCACCTTTTTTTTTTGAAAATTTAGTTTATTTCATTTTTTTTGAGTGCAATTGAATTTGTTTAATTCTAAGATTCGTGAAAGGCGCTTTAGGCTTCTTTTTTTGCTGTTTTTTGGTTTTATTTGAGGAATTTTTATTGTTCCCTTAAGGGATTAAATATTAAATTTTTTTGAAGTTTTTTCAACGATTTTAGAAATCTAATGAACTTCAGAAATTTACTATTTATTCCTTTTTCCCACTAAGAAATGAAATCGCTGCTGTCACTTTTTTTCTAAAATTAATTAATTTTTTTATGTAAGTCATACTGAAATCATTTTTATAGGGCTTTCCGGTCAGAATTTCTAGGTTTTTTAAATTTTTATTTATGCTATTTTATTCTCATTGCGGGTGCAGTCATTTAATGTCGACCTAAAATTAAACTGGTACCACTGACGTGAATATACAAATACGAAATTTAGATTTGTTAAAATATATTATGTCTTTATTAAATAATTTTGCATGTCAATAGGCGACGAAAGTATTTCATGCTGTGGAATCAGTGGAACCATCAGTGAATCGTAAAATATTTTTCTTTGTTTTGGCTGTTATTATCAATTATCATTCCTTGTCAGTAATAAAGAAATTATGAAAAAACAATTTTTAAAAAAATTACTCAAATTTTAAAATAAAATAAGGTTTTGAAATCGAATTAAAATAAAGTTTTGCATTTTTGTTTCATTTGAAAAAGAATTTAAGAAATTTTTTTTTTTTTGATCAAATCATTAATCAATTGTTTTTGTCAGTTTGTTTCCGACTGTTTAGATAAAAATAAAATTATTTATTTATTTTTGATACTCATTTTATTGTTGCAATGAAGCGATGGTGAGGCGAACGGCAAAATGGTTCTCTCTTCTTCGAGGTGGTAGGACTTGTCGATCTAGAATTAAACTGGTACCACTGACGTGAATACACAAATACAAAATTTAGATTTGTTAAAATATACGGCTATTAAATAGTTTTGCCTGTCAATAGGTGGCGAAAGTGTTTCATGCTTTGGAATCAATGGAACCACTAGAACGATGAAAGAATGGTGTTAATTAGAAGAAGAAGCGGTGATTTGCTAAAAATTTTAAATAATATTGACAAGAAACGGTGTGAAAAGCTAAAAATTGGTCCAATTTTTATGCGATCATTGCACCACCTGTTCATTTTTTTTTTTTTTTTTGCTTTAATATTCACTTCGTAGATTTCATATTGCAAGTTAATTTTATCAGTAAAAAAATTTTATACATGCATTATAAAATAAAATAATCCTTGCTTATCAGATCAGATCGAATAACCTGGAAATGTTTTACGCTTATATAGCTTATATAGCCAACTGAATCAACCTTTATAATGGGTGCAAGATGCTAAAAAAAAAGGATATGATATATAAATGATATCTTATCAGTAGTAGGTAAATAAGAAGGTGTCAATCTAATCGCAAAAAATTCGATATATTTAATTATTTCATATCTATCAATTTGTTGCAATAGTGCATCTTATCAAAGTGACAAGCGAAGAGATTCTTTTAAAAAATTCTTCGAAAAATTTTTTTTACATATCTCATCAATTCAAAACGAAAAATAAGCCAGCCTTCCTCTCTTAAACCACCAAATTCTATTGCACATTAAAAAGAGAAGTGAAGAAAGATTTATAGTTATTGGACAGATAAAATATTTTTGAGCCTTGCAAAATCCTCAAAAAAAAGGAAAAAAACTCCTTCAAATGCTCGGTAAACCGGCAATATCGTTCGCGGATAATCAAGAAAATACTTCGAGAAGTGTTTCGGTTGGTGTTTTTTATTTTTTACTCGATTTTATGAGATTTTATGAGATTTTATATTTCGTTTTTTTTCCTTTTTATTATTTTATTTTATTCAGTGAATAAAAATAATTTATAAAATGGTTTCTCGAGAAGTTTTTCGTTTCATTTATTCATTTTTAAAAAAATTCAAAAGATTATTTCAAAAATTTTTTCCATCACTTTATCAATTGTCATTTATTATTTTGAAAGGTTAACCTTTTTTTGGGTACCAATGTTTTTAAACATTGGAAGTACCATTATTAATATTGGATATATTTTTATTAATGTGATATTTTTTAAAAGCGCCTCACCATTACTGTTTAGACTCCACTTCACTGGCTTAGCGCATTAGACAGATGTCGAGAAGTCCTTTGGCGATAGAAGCCGCTAGCATCACTCGGATTTTTAAACGGGCTTGCTTCTGCGGGGAATAAAACCAGCATTGGCTCTCCGAATTGAGTCCAATGAGCCATTCTATCCCTTACTAGAAATAAATTTTAAGTGTCCATCTAGCTCATCAAATATAAATGCACAGTCTTCCTTCCTAACCACCGATGTAGCTATTAAATTTGAAATTTTATCAAATATTTTATTTTTTAATAATATTTCATAAGTGGTGTGGTTACTTCAACTTCTGGTTCTCTGCCAGGAACCTAGGTGCTTGAAGGTTGTTCCAGTAGCTTTTTCTATGTCAGATTATTCTGGTCCTTATCAACTTATTGTTTATTAGATTTAATTAAATTAATCAGATTATTTTGTGATTTTTTAAATCAATATTTGTATTCACCATTTTTATTAAGGTAGCGAATTGTTGATAGAAATGCAGGTGACATCGCTGACAGCATCTGATTTTTTTAAAAAATGGGTTAACCTAACCTAGTCGATAGTACACCAATAAATGAGAGTAACCGACCTACTGAACCATTCTATCTCTAAGAAACACCTCATTGAGTACCTTTTACGGAGATATAATTTATGGGGAAATATAATCCACAAGATAAAAGTTGGTAGATATTTGTAGATTCATGTAAATTCTCTTCAAATATATCTATTACTTAGTTTATTAATATTAATTTCATTGGTTACTCGCTTAAAATCTTTATATTATTATATTTTTAACTATCATTTACATAGTTAATAATTAATAAGTATTTTTAATTTAATTAGCATTAAATATTTTAAATTAAATTATATTAGATATTATGCTATTTTTTTTTTTATGAATTTTTATGAATGAATTTTTAATTTGATAATATTTCCAAAATAAATGAGCTAATTTATCGCTGGGATGGTCGAATGATAAAATGATAAGAACCATAATAGATTTGTTGAAAATCTTGATTTTTTGGCTTAAAAATGAAATTTTTTTAAATTTTCCACTTTTTTAAAAAAATCTACAATTGAATATTTGATGGACAGCTTTTGACATAAAATATTTATTTTTCGATATAGAAACGGGTAAATAATTCCATGCGCTGAAATTAAATTCCCGGCAGAAATAAAATCTGTCTTTCAAAAATCCTGGTGGTGCTGGCGGCCCACCTATATTTCTATCAACAAGCGATTTTGGTCTAGCAAACCAGCGAAACCAGAAATGGTACTTATTAATTTCTATGATAATCGTAATCCATTTCATGTTTTTATCATATATTCCATTATTATTGATATATGGTGTGAATTTTCTAGGAAATTTTTTTTTTAAATAAATTATTTAAACAAATTTTCCATATCATGTCGCATGATACATGAAAAAGTTTCATTTGTTTGAAAATTTTTTAAAATGTAATTGTGCATGAAATATTATCAGTAAAAAGTATATCAGTGTGAAAATAGGCTTGTCTAACACCACTCAGTTGGCAATGCAAGTAAAGTTTTTCCCCAACAATCAACAGCTTGGCTTATAATTTTAAGGTGAATGTATCCCAGAAAGTTGCTAAATTGAAATTATAAAATGTGATCTAAGTTTTGAATCTTATTTGGTAAAATACGTATTAATTAATTTATTTATTTTATAATTTATTTTATAAATTATGAATTATGAAGTTATTAATTTATAATTCAGTTTACAAATATTTAACCAGGCGATCTCCTCTTTTAGAAAAGAAAAGCTTAAGATTATTTTGCTATAACGTTTTTGAATATATCGTATAGCTGATATATTCGCGTGATTAATGATAAATATTCTTAGCGAAGAAATTATTTATTATTCGGCTTTAAAAAATATGATATCTAATAATTTTTTTGCATGAAATATGGTTTTTTAATGAAATTTTTGGAGAAAAAAATATTTTAAAGAATTTTTTGTTGAAACATTAAATATACGATTGATAAAGAAAATAAAATTTAAAATCGTTAGTGATTGTGATAAGTTGATTATATCAAAA